ACGGGGTCAGTGGGTGAGGTCACGGGGTCAGTGGGTGAGGTCAGGGGTCAGTGGGTGAGGTCAGGGGTCAGTGGGTAAGGTCATCGATCAGTGGATAGGGTCAGGAGTTGTGGTATACAGGCAAAACTGTCTACGACGACCCTCCATAGTTGAGGACAGAATAATTGTAAAAATTTAGCCACTAAACGTGATGCGTCTATTTCCAACGGGCTAGAATCCGAGAAGTAACTCATTTTGTTAGCGAGTTCAACATTTTATCAAGCACTTCCATATTTCTATTGGTATGTTATATCCTTCTTAGACTGGGCCAGCCCTTAAGCCTACTGCATGGGTGGTTGGAGGGTGCTCTGTTGTGGTTTGCCCCTTCTTTCCTATCAAACATCTATCGTCCTGAGCTCTCCTCCTTTTTTGTTGTGTTTGTTACTCTCTTGTAACACCTCTAATCTTCGGCACTTATACGACCTTATTGTGTTGCAAGTGCCGTAAAACTTTTACTGAAACTAAAACTAAAAGACTGAGCTAGCCCTTTACTGCTTTTGTTCAACACAAGACTATTGGTAATGTTCAGGGGACTAGAGGACAATAAGTAACCTTGTCTACAAATCTGCACAGGATTAGTTCTGTTTTGTCGACAACAACGCAAAAAAAAATTAACGATTTTGTATTCTTGGGACTGAAAATGACTTTTTAAATTTTTTCATTTTTTAAAAAATGGTGGTGTTTTTGATGGCCCCAGAAATAAGTGGAAGCTCATCTATGCAGGTGAAAGTGCATGTGATGAATGCTCAAATTCTGTTTATTGAACTGTTAGAGCATGATCGTTGTATATTGATGTTTGTTTAACGTGTTTATTGTCCTTTTTTTCAGGGGAGTACAAAAGAGAAAAGTGAGTTGTTGGAAAATATTTCCTAGGTTTTTAGATTAGTTTGATTTTGTGGTTTTGTTGGAAACACACACTTTTCTCCAGTGAAACTTTTTACAAATTACATAAATTATTGAGCATATGCAAGTTTTTTTTGTTTTTTTCAAGAATAAAATTAAAGTTTCTGGCTTTCTATGTCTTACTGTACATAATGAAAAGAAAATTTCTAGACCTATATGCCAGAGCTGCCGAGTACTCTGATGAACTGGAACTTTCTCTTTTTTTCCTCTCTATCAAAGAATCCTGAGATTTGCATGAAGTCTGGGGGGGTTTTTCCTTGAATTCCTTCTGTATCAGTAGTATGTGAATTATTGCAGTTATTATCAACTTATCATGAACGACTTGACAATACACATTTCTTATTGGCAATATTTGTGTGACGTATCAACGTAAATGACGTAAAAATACACATAGTTAAAAGCATGTATTTGCAATATGCGTTAATTGCCACAGTTTGTTACGTAATCTACTCGGGTTCGGGGGGCATTAAAATTCCAAAGTTCCATTGGGGAGGGGGGGGTAGGAAAAAATCCTGTTTTTGGTCATGGAGTGGATTGCAGGTCTGATATGTAGATGGATTCTGTGGGTCTCTTTGAAGGTAACAAATACTGGTGATTGTACTGTGGTCGTTGCTTTATTTCTGAATGTTTCATGGGTGGTTGGTGGGTGCTCTGGTTGGTTTGCTCATTCTTTCCTGTCACACGTGTATTATTGTTGTCCTTATCTTCTCTTCTCCATCTTTTTATTTCTGCATTACTCTTTAGTAATGACACCTCTAATCTTTGGCATTAGTTGGTTGGTGGGTGCTCTGGTGTGGTTTGCTCCATCTTTCCTTTCAAACATCTATGGTCCTTATCTTTCCTCCTTCTTTTTTATGTGAGTTACACTCTTGTAACATCTCAGCATCTCTAATCTTCGGCATGTGTATAACCTTATTGTGTTGCAAGTGCCGTAAAACTCTTACTAAAAAAAAAATTATTAAAAAACCACTTACCAAAAAAAACAACAACCCCACACCCACCCCCGTGGTTGTCCATCAGGAGGCGTGACAAGTCGCAGCGAGCCACCGTGGAGCAGGTCCTGGACCCGAGGACTCGCATGATTCTGTACCGCATGCTGAGCAAAGGCCTGCTGGCGGAGGTGAATGGGGCCATCAGCACGGGGAAAGAGGCCAACGTATACCACGCCACGGCCAGGGACGGCACAGACCGGGCCATCAAGGTACGGCCTTCGTAGACTGTAATCAGGGTTCCTGCTGTCTCTTTGGATTCAAGAAGTCCTTGAAAACTCCTTGAATTTGCATTCATTGAAAAATCTCCTTAAAAACTCCTTGAATAAAATGTCCTTAAATACTCCTTGAATTTGAGGAACTTCCTTGAAATCTCCTTGAATTTTGCCTGATCGGACATGAACAAAATTTTTCTCGGAAAATCGAAACTACAATTCCTTTCGGACAAATGTAGGCCAATGAGAAATAGGCTTTCGGCGTGAATTTCTGAACCAAATCTCATTGAATTTGAAAACGTCCCCTTGAAACCTCCTTGAATTTGGTGGAGAGGTCATGGCAAGAACCCTGAAGTCTATTAGATTGCTGTGCATTATCAATATAGAAGGGAAACCATAAATCCTGGGTGGGTTGTTGGTCTTTTAGTTACCAAAAGTAACTTGAATTATTTCCCTGTAATTGTACCTAAGTGTACTTTCATTTTATCTGAGTGTGGTTGGTGGTGGTGGCACGTACTCTGGTGTGGTTTGCTTCTTCCTTCCTATCGTCCTTATCTCCCTTCCTTCTTTTTTTGTGTTTGTTACTCTCTTGTAATACCTCTAATCTTCAGCACTTATGTGACCTTATTGTGTTGCAAGTGCCGTAATACACTTACTAAAACAAACAATAGAGTTTTGAAAAAGTCGGCAGGCCTGGGACTATGAAGTCGTGTGTGTGGGAGAGGGAGACAGGCGCCGGGATTATATCCAGGCCTCGCCCCGTGTGCTGTAGGTTCACCAACATGGAAGCTCGGGAAGACAAGTCGGAGAGTTAATGTTTTCAGGATAGGTAATTCAGGTCGAGTTTTCCTTCTCACATGATATGAATTACGTGTGTATGATTGACCGACGGTCTGCGACTTTCCCAGGCTGGAGGTCTGGTGTGTGTTAATTATCCTTGTCACCAGTTTTTGTCTGTGTTATCTGTCCTCAGATCTACAAGACGTCCATCTTGATCTTCAAAGACAGAGACAGATATGTGTCTGGAGAATTTAGGTAAATCTTTCAGTTACATTACTTTGTTCTATTTTGTCCTTTAAAAAAAATGTATTTATTGTTTTAAATTTTAAAAAGAATTTTTTGGGGGGTCTTGTTTCACCTATCAAACATTTATCCTTATCTTTCCTCCTTCTGTTGTTCCTCTCCAATAAGACCTCTAGTTTTTGGCCTTGGTATGACCTATCTGTGTTGCTAGTGCTGTAAAACTCTTACTAAAAAACCAGGTATACTTTCCTGTGGCTCTGCCTACATTGCTGTTGCTGTTGTTGCTGTGACCCTCAAAATGCTGCCGTCCTTCCTCCTAATGTTCCTGTAGCTGTCAGTTGACTGAGATGTGGAGATTTGTAATGAACTTTTTTACCTCCCTGCCTGGACTTATTATTGACGGGTAAAATTTGTTGGTCAATTGTGGTTTGTTCTTTGTAACATTGAAAAACATTGAAAAACATTGATTGTGATCATTCAAGAGATGATTCCGTGGACTTCTTTGTTGCTGACATTCTGTTCTGTTGTCTCCCCTGTGTCCACAGCCTCCA